CACTCAAAGGTCTTTGGGAGCTTCTCCAACCTTGCTAATGGAAAACCCATGACCAACATCTGAGCACAGCATCTGGAGTAATGCCACTTATTTACTGCAGACCTCATTTAAGAGTGAGCATTTTGAACATTCAGCAACACTCAGGTATGTGTTACCAAGCGCTTTGGGGGTTATAGAGAGTGTTGCTGGCCTGAAAAGAAACCCAGCGTGCAACAGACCTACGGAGCCAGGCAGGCTTGAAGCCACAGAATATAATGCACAGCAGAAGGCAGAGCGCTGTGCTGCACACGTGAAGTTTGCACCAATTGTTAGCACCACACAGATGGAAACACCATCAGCCCAACAGGTCATCTTGCCCTATCTGAGGGGAGTCTTCCTTGCTGGAGAAATAAATATTTTAAGAAGAGAGTGAAACAAGTTAAGAGAGATCTAGATGACTTAGAGCACTATAAAGCAGTGTTTGAAGTAGCTTCCCCAAAGATCAGTGTTTAAGCACTCCTTAAATCTGCTTCTTTATCTCCAGGCTTTGTCTTGCCTGGGAAGACGCAGCTCACGGGGCGCCGGCAGGTTTCAGCGGCGGCTGCCATCGGCTGGCTCGGGGCTCTCTTGGCATCAGGCCTGGCCAGGCAGCAAGGCCCATGATGGAAAGCATCTCCAAAATCACGCTGGACAACTCAGTACCCTCTCCCATGCCTTCGTCACTCCATCAATAAAAACACATCAAGAGAGTTCTCGTTAGAGGGACTGAAAAGTTGGTAGGCTGTGAAGGGTAGCTATCAGCTTCACCAAAACATGGAGGTATATGGATTATCAATGTCTGTTTTAATTTCAGCATGGAACAAAGACTTTTTATTTTTCAGTGAGGAAGAAATACAAAAGCTAATGCATTTTGGAAATCTTGATTCAGAAAGAAAGAAAAAAAATCTAGATTTTATTTTAAAGTAATTGAAAATCACGTATTCAGATAAATATCTATTTTAATATTACTGCAGTATAATATTCTACAACATGCAGTAGTAGTTCATAAAAGCAGGTGCCATTTTGTACATCCACTTGTACCAATAAAGCAGTAAAAATATTAATTTAAAGCAAATGCATTTAAAGACATCAACCTAATGAAGACTTAAGAAAAATAAAGCAAAAATAGTGATTTCCTTTAAACGTTTAACCTCTCCCACAAACAAATAAGACTGTCCCACTGTTTTTGTGAGTTGGCTGGTTGATTCCTCATCCCCCACAATTCGGTTGAAATAGCACTTCAGGACACTAACCATAGCAAGACCACCAAGAAACATCCCATCTCTGCTCATTTGGAAGTTTAGTAAACCCACGGATCTGACAGCTAAGTTCTAGTCAGATAATGCCATTTTTATTCATTATTATCCTCCTTCTTATGTGTATCACCTCATCAGCAACAGCTAGTGCCCCACTGTTCCCCATAGGAACAAGCACACGCCGGGAACACAATTCATTCTACCACCAAACTGACATGTTGCAGGCTCTTCACATGTTTGAGCACCAGGTATCTATCACAGGCAGATGTGACACAATGAGCAAGACGATGGAGAAGGAAAAGTTGACCAGAAAGGAGATGGGACAGACGAGCAGGACACAGGCTACCCTCCCAAACACTGCCTGGGGATATCTGGAGTGTCCTCTAAATCTCTTTAGTATGCAAACCCTTCAGTTTTTCTTCATTGATATGTTCTTGGCGGCCAACATCAAGCCTTCAGTGCATCATGCCACTTAGTTTCTGCACGTACCTTTTGCTTATGGCTTTGAGGCTACCAATAACAAAAGGCTATTGGGATATTAATGGCAGAACCTCTCTACAAGATTTACTGTCAAAATTAATTGTGGCAATTATGTCAAATCAGATGGGAACTGCTGTTTCTCTTGTCTGGGGCTGAGAAGAGCCAGGAAGAAAGAGGAAAGTGCAAGTGAGCAGAACAGGCTTCACACTAATGAAGCAGTTTGTAGCAGCCACTGCTGCACAGGCTGAAATCTGAGGTAACTGAAGGTGTTTCTGGAAAATCACTGATCTATTGGCCAGACCTCTGGGGCTTGCAAGCTTTTTTCTTTTTCTTTAAAATATTAATATTATTTCAGTGTTCATGGAATGTGCTAGATGGGCAGACCTGAAGACCAATACTTTCTCTTCATCCCATAAAAACAGCAGAGGGATCCTCCTCAGGCTATGTCCTCCCTGTGCTTCTGATGGGACACAAGGACATCCTCCTCCAATGGTAATGGTGAGCTCTGGGGTCAGGAGCACCCACTTCACTCTCTCACTTGGTGCAGGGACCTTTTGAAACAGGCTTATGATGAACAGCACTCACTTATTTTCCTACCTCCTTGACAGAAACAGCATGACCAGGTACAGGACAGTGCGAGGACAGATGGCTTCATCTTTAAATCGCCAATCTATGTTCAGTCTTTAAACAAAGAAATAAATTGTGACTCTATTTTCTGTGCACAAAATCCACAGAGCTCTTGGTCTCCTGTCAGCATCATGATGAACCTAGCTCACTCAGAAAATCCACCAGTTCTCCTCATCAGAAAATATGCTTGTGATTTTGAGATGGAAAAAAAAGGAAAATTTGTCTGATTTTATCTTCACGTGAAATATGTCTTTGACTAAATTATTTTTGCATACAAAGTACATAAATACATGTACGATTTACAGCTTGAGGTATTTTGTTAAATGTCTATTACTGAAAGCAGTTTGAAAAAGCAGATTTTTTTTATTGTTAAAGTAGAAACCTGCACGAAATCTTTGTAAAAGCAATGCTAGTAATTTACATGCAAAATGATTAGCATCTGCCTGCAACTTGTTTTCTGTATCTCATTCCAATCCCTTGAACCAAAGGCAATTCCAGTAAGAAGAGTAATTATATTTGCTTTGAAAAACAAACATAGGTCTGGTTTGTGCTAAATCTATGTTTATTGCACAATCTAGAAAAAAATAAACTGGTAGCTATCACACAGAAAATCAGGGGGGGATTCAGCGTGTCAGACCTGCCGAGGGAGGGTATAAGGTACCATGGATTGCCCCAAAAGCTGTGTCTGGTTTAGAAAAACAAGATGTTTCACTTGTCCTTGATCCCAGCAGTGTCTCCTGCCATCTGCATGTGGAAACGTGGACAGGACTTCCAGGCACAAGCCAATCTCTATATCACTTGGGTCACTCTGATCCTTCAGGGAAGTGTTGGGAATGTCTGGCCCCGTCTGCTACCCTGCAGCACAGGCTGGGGGTGATATGTGAGAGGACAGATCTTTTTTCTCTAATCTGCCTCAGCTTTTACCTACCCCGGTCAGGTAAATCTAACCCAGCCTCTTGGCACTGAACATAGTAAGTTTGACTGTACTCTCCTTTGCACGTGTGTAAAGTTTGAGAAGCTCCACAAACATGTGGATGTGAGGCTGCAGAGTATTCAAGGAGTGCACTGTCTTCCCTCCAGCATCTCAGCTCTTTCAAAGAAATGCCAATCCAATGGTGCCACAGCCCCAGCACAGCCATAGAGCTGTCAGGGCAGTGGACAGTCCTGGCGCTGCTTCCAGCAAGAGAGACCAGCGCCAGCCTCTGCCCGTATCAGGCTGGGAGCATCACTGCCCATGGCACTCTGAGCATCCTCAGCGCAGGGCACAAAGGAAGGGTCCCCTGTGGGCAACAGCTCCTGAGTTCTGATCATGAGAGCAAGCAATGTGCTCCCTTGTTCGTTTAGTCTAAGCTCTGACTGACACAGAATCCCCTGATGTCCCCAGAGCATGGGAGAAATGGTGACAGGTTTCCATGCTCAATACTCAGGGACAGCCAGGAAGCCAGCAGAAGACTGTCA